GAGAGAGAGAGAGAAACGGAGAAAGAGAAACCGCCGTGGTCACTTTTTGATTTATAAGCAAAATGTTTGCCGCGTTGCTCAAGTATTTATGAAACATTTCAAGGCAGCGGACACGGCGGCTCCTACTCCAGCTCCTCTCCGCCTTATTTCATCCTCCAGCCAGTTGACACAGGAGTTGTTTGGGGCCTGGGAGCAAATAGCAGGCAGCAACAGCAGCAGTAAGTAGCCGCAGTAATTGCGGCGGCATGTGAAATATGAGATAAACTCCAAGTAAGGCCAAGTCCGCGGATCCACAGCTCCGTAGCTCCATAGCTCTCCAGCTTCAAAGCATGTGGCAAGTTGTTTAGAACTAACCAAACCGAGGAAATAGCAACAACCACGACAGGCAGGCGACAGGCGACGACAGCATTTTGGTGCCACTTTGCGGCGAATGCGAAATAACTTCGCACAATTGAGCATGCCGACAACGGGCAGTTGGTAGGAAATAAATAAAAGAAAGGAGCACTCTAGTCGTAGAGTAGTGGCCACAACTCCCAACTTGGGCATTCTATTAAATTAATCGTCAATTATCAACGGAGCTGCAAATTATCCAGGCCTATGGGGAGCAAACAGCTGAATTCGAATGCAGGATGCAGGATGCAACAATGTAACATAGCTTAATGGCTCGAAAGTGGCGACCAAAGAGCCATTACACTTAGTAAACTAAATGTTATGTCAACACTTAATTTGGTATTCTGAGATCTTAAAAATAGTGAGTGAAAAGACTCTTTCTCAACATGTTCTTTGAAATTGTATATCTTTTTGTAGAGTTTAGCTGGAGTTAAGTTCCTATTTGATCAAGTTTTTGGAAAAGAGTGCACCTAAAATTCACAAGTTTCATAGTTTCACTTTATTCAAAATCCTATCAATATTTTCAAGCTCTGCAATCAATTCTATTACCATTTAAAAGTCAAAAGCTAAACTCTTTCTCCGTCAAACAAATCAATTTAACTTTTGCCTGGGTCTAATTAAGCAACCAAAAAAAAACTATTGCCAAATTTTTAGAGCTCTGAGAATACACCCCGAAAAGTAAGGCACATGCAATTTGGGCTTGAGCAAACGTTGGAACAGAACGGCCAACTTGTTCGCGTTCGCTTGTTCAATGTGTTTAATTAAATAGCAAGCGTAATTAAATTGCAATTAAATTAATTAAAAAGCACGCAGCCGCAGCACGTTAGCAAACGGTTCGGTTTGGCGATGTCCTCCCCTCCTGTTGCTCGTATTCCTGTTCCTGTTCCGGTTCCTGTGCTCCTGACGGGAGGATATTTTTTGAAGAGGGTTCGCCGCCGTTCGGCAGCTCAGTTTAGGGTCCAACGTTGGCAGGGCGGTGTGAAAGGAAAACAAAACAAAAAATACAATGTTGCCCTGGACATGGATTCCACATTTTCCCCCCAATACTCCTTCCTTCCTTCCTTTGCCACTTCCTCTTTTCCCTCCTCCGACAATTTCCTCATTTTCCCTTTGCCGCGCACAATTAGACTTTAATTTTTTATGAGCAATGAATGGTTTCGCAGTTTTACTTTTTGGTGTTAAATGCTTGATTAAGTTGAATGCTGAAAGCTATGCAAATTTTCCCCCTTTTTCCCTCCGACTAGGGGTTAGAGTTTTGGGGCGCCGGAAAATTGGCTGCTTTGATGTTGCTGCTCGGTGGGGTTAGGGGTTGGAAAATGGAATAACAATTCTTCCTCTGTTCTGGCCTTAATTAGTGCAATGACAAAAGTTTATTTCTAGCTGCGGGAAAATGCAGGCCGAAGATGTATGCAGATGTCAAGGGAAATGCGGGTGAAATGAAAGAAAACTCACTCAAGCTGCTATAAATTCCCAACAAAATTAATTGCCCAAAGGGTTTGGGCAATAGCTAATGGAGATTTAGAGGAAATCTGTCAAAGATCTCTAACCCTTAGATGATGGGACAATAAAAACTATACAACTCCTTTGTAAATAGAAGAACTGAAAGAGAAGGTAATCCTGGATAAAGATTTATATTCTTGCATTAAATTCAATTCATGGGCGCACATAATCGAAAGTAAATGAGCAGCCAGAGACACACTAAGCAATTTCCTACAAAATTCCCGCCATAATGGGCAACTAAAATCAACAATAATAAAGCCACACAGCACGTAGGCAAAATGAACAAATTGAATTGCGGCAATTACTTGCCACGCTACGCAAAATCGACCAAGAAACAAAATAAAAACCAACGAAGGGGGCAAGAATCCAAACTCAAAGTTCATAAAAATGAAATCATGCCACAGCTCAGGCAGAAGATCAAAGAGGACAAATCAATAAAGCCCCAGTGCAGAAATAACTTAAAGTCAGGACAGAGACCGGACGACGACGACGACGACCCCGAAAACCCAACCAACTTGACCTGGTCAAGGCTAAAGGCGCATAAAACAAAATTATACAACGTAGCAAGGGGAAAACTAAAGCAAACTGTCTTTTGATCTATCCTGGCTACACATACCCCAATGATGAGGATGATGATGGTCTGGGCTGGCTCATCGCAACCAACAATGTAGAGCAACCTCAACGACTGGTCCTGGGTAAATTGGCATAAGAAATCAGAAATCACAGAAGGCTGCTCCTCTCGTACTCGGACTCAGACTGGGACTCTGACTCCGACTCGGAGATAAATGGTCATGGCTTCTTTGGCCAAGAGGAGAGCGGACTGCAATATTAAGTAAATATACAAAACGTTGTCGGCACGGCGCACAAAACTAATGATGTCGATGAGGCAGGCTGGGGGACTACGAGTATCTTCGGGACTGCTGCCAGAGCTGAGGAGACTCCAACTTGGACTCGGCCTGATAATGATGCGGCGGACAGGCGCAGATACAAACGGACAGCGGAGGAGCTACGTGGGGACTGGGACTGGGACTGGCACTGACTCGGCATACTGGACACTGGCGATATACACACGCCAGGTAATAAATTTCATTTCTCAGCTGATATGGGCAATTAAGGAACAATTTTGCAGCTGAATGAGTAATAAATAAAAATTGTATGCCAGCGATATACGCAGATACAAAACTGCAAGACGTCGACGGTTGTCGGTTGTCGGTCGTCAGGCCCCCAGATAGTTTTCGGGATAAAAATACTCCAACACTGAAGGCAGTCTGGCAATGAATGAATGATGAATGAATGAGGGACGGATGGTTTCGCGAAAACCTCCTCTGCATGCCTGCCCTTTTGATGAAAACAACTCAATGACGTGATTTGTGCCGCCAACGATGCTGCCGAGCTGCCCAGGCTCCATTTCCAACTCCATCTCCATCTTCGTCTGCGTCTGCGGACATTCCATCCATCCTTCGCGAAATCCTGCCTCATATAAATAAATCACATTTCACTGAATTGATGTGCAAAATTCTTCGAGCTTGCAGAAGGGAAAAAAAGAAAAGGGTTCTCCTAAGATTTCGTTTTGGGGGGCCATAATTTAAAGCTGCGAAATATTTTTGAATAATAAATCAAGCTTCCGCCGGGCCTGCTTCTGCTGCTGCTGTCGGTTTATCTTAGCCTTTTCCCACAGCTTAAAAGAAGTCCATCAAATGTTGCCATTTATCCGGCAACTTGTCTGCTCTTTGGCATTATTTTAATTACACTCGAGCAGCAGTATAAAACCTGAGCCCAGGACCCGAAGCCAGAAGGCAAAAGGTATTTTTTAAATGCTTCTTCACACTGCGGGAAAAAGTATGGAATAGTTTGAAGACAAGAGAAATGAAAAGTCTACTGGTATGTTTGAAATTGACTTCCTTTCGCTTATTTAATTCCAAGTCTAACTCTTTAATTCATTACTAATTTATACTATTTCTAGAATTCTATAACTTAAATCTCAGTGCACTTTGTGGACTGGTCAGAAAACGAAACATTTTCGGGGCCATCGGTGCCTTTTTGGTAACACATGATATGTCGCCTACCTGGTGGATGCTTCAGCAGGAGTTGGAGTTGGGGATGGGGTTGGGGAGTTCCTGGGATTTGGGGAATCAAGACAAAAAGGGCGAGGGGCGACCAAGAACTCGCCGAGTGGAGAACAATGGAGACCGGCATGGAGCAACATGACACTCGAGGTTCGAGTCTCCGAGTCTCTGAGTCTGAGGATAAAAGGGGTTCCACTGTAGCACCGAAGCCAAAGCTAAAAGCTTCTCATACCCAAGCCCTGGTCAGCGGAGAGTTGGTGTTGAGCACTTGGAGTTGGACCTGGAGATGGAGGAGGATGTGGATGTGGAGGAGCTCCTGCTTTGCTTGCCTCTGTTTAAATGTTCTCCATTTTACTGTCAAGTGCGGACCGGACCGGGTTGACATTTGCCAACGATGCAACTGCCCTCTGGGAGCCCCATGCCCCGATTTCATTCCCTGCTCCATTATTTGATTCAGCTTCGCATGTCGAGAATTTTAATTTAAGTATGTAAACTGACATTGAATAGTTTTTCGCCAGGGAACACAGTAGTGCTCCCTTTCGCCTCCCTTTTGTTGTGGGCGGTGGTAGCTCAATGAAATAGCATCTGGTGTGTGTGTGTGTAGAAGCGAGTGCAATTTCAGTTCTGTTTGCAATTGGATTTCGTAATAGAAAGCTCGTCCGGGGCACAAACTTTTCCTAGCAGCAACAGCACCAGCAGGAGGAACGGGTGTGTGCGGGTTATTTCAACATGCTGGATTGAAAGTTTTATGACAGGCAGGAGGAGCAGATACTTTTAATAGATATTTAAACCCTCAGTTCTTGGGAGTCGGGTTTGGCATGTTAATGATGCTTCTGCCGAATTTTCAAAGTCGAATTTTGGCCAAAACCCAACTTTAGTTTAATGGGAAACTAAGGAGTCTAAATAGTGTAAATTTAAGACCTCTGGAATATGAAGAGCAACTTTTCGGCTTTTCGTATAACTGGATTTATCTACTATAATCTTTAACTTAAAATTTTAATAAATGAGCTTAGTAAAAAGGATTTCAAAAGATATCTGACTTACCGGTGTTGAGTATGGATGCGCCGTGAGTCGAACTCCGTCCGTTTCCAGTTGCTCTCGCAGGACGAGCTCCAGTTCGTTGCTGGGCGGGGTTTCGCAAAGGATCTCCATGCTGCCGGACAGGGAATTGGGATCGTTGAGCATGAAATAAACAGAGGCAGCTCCCTTCTCCCTCAGCGATCGTATGCTCTTCAGCAGCTTGTGTCGATGGGCAGGATTCTCGACGCCGATGGCGTCCAGATCGGGATCACCGACCTGCTTGCATATCTCCAGATCATCGTAGCCATTGTCCAGAAAGCTTTCCGCATACTGGGCCAGGCCCAGGGCTCTCAGCCATTCGCAGACAATGTTGCTAACGGCCATAATGAGGTTGAGGTTGAGACTGAGACAGTCCTGTGGGTGTGATGGGTGATGGTGTCCTGTGTTACGTAAGGCGTAAGCTGCTTACGTGTGCCTTGCCAATTACCGCTACAAAATGGCGTCTATTAGTTTTACGTCACGTGCTCGGGGGGCGCCTAGTGCCACGCCTCCTCCAGCAGGTCCTCGTTGCATGCAATTTCCGTTGGCACTTTAAGCCTGTAGTATTGTTTTAAATCGTCGTCCTTTCCGTTGGATTCGCTTTACATTTTTGTTGCGCCTGCTGTCCCTGCTGCTCCCTCCTGCGGACAGTCGTAAAAATTCAACGCGTACACTCATAAAAATTTATATCGCACTTTGAGCATTTCTAGCATAATCGCAGACTGCTCCAACGCTCTGGTTTATCCTCATCCTCATTTTGATGTGGCGCCGCCGCTGCTCCGCATTGCTTCTGCAAGAATAAAATGAAAACGAGAGTTTTGTAGTCAGCGAAAACAAAAAACGTTAAGCCATTTTCCCCTCCACATTTAGTTATCAATAATTTAGAAAGCGGCCGGAAAATTGCATAAATTTGAAATGTCTGCCCGCATGTGTCCATGCAAAATAGATGCCGTAACCCGGGAAAAATCTGAAATTCCCACCATAATATACATATCTGGTACAAATCAATAGAACCCGCGGGTATGACCACAATTGATGTTGATGACGAGATTCAAATCAGAACTCTGGAAGCGCTTGAACATTAATTAAGCCCAGAAGCAGCAGCAGCAGCAGCTGGCTGTGGCTTGTTCGAAATGCACTCCCTTGCGAATACGATGAGTATACTCACCCCCATCCACTGAAAATTCCCACAATCTTTTGGGCGGGAATTCCTTATCGAAGGCAGAAGGCTCATAATACGTGCAGGCGGTTCTACTCAAGCAGACATATCACTTTATCATATAGACACACAGCACTCACACCCAGAGTGGCTTCCGCTTTGGGGAATCCGTGAGGCGTTAAACGCAAACTAAAAGCTTATACTACACATACTTTTTTCTGGCAAGGCGTGTGCCTGCCTGCCGCGCTTCGACTCATTGATAAATGATTGATTATCAATCCCATTCACGGTATGCCGGTGGGGTGCGTGGGTGTGTGGGTGTGGGTGCGCTGCGGTTTGCCTTCGGCTTAGCGCTAAAGTTTAGTGTTTGCTTTTAGTTTATCTTAATGGATTATTTTAGTGGTTGCTTTGGCTCGTCAACGAGCAGAAGCAAAAGAGCAACAGCAAAAATAATCACGATATTCTTTTAGTGGAGAATATAAGAATGCCCATTAAATTTACACGATTTATTAAAATATTTTCCAGTTTCGGTTTATTACTGCTGATTAGAGGTATTAGCAAAAAGTTATTTTAATAACAAGACACATAACGACCATTCATTTGAATGGCCATATGCAATCAATTTTTATGCTAATGACGAAAAGTTTAGAGCTTAAAATTCATAAAAGAGCAATGCTTTTCTATATGATCAAGCTAGTGCGTATGTAGCGAACAGATCTAGAATTCAGCTAAATGAGAGAGAAAGAAAAAAAAAAGAAAAAAAAAGAAAAAGTAGTATTTGTTCTAGTTTTTTTTTATTTACAGTTTTAACCTAACTAAATATAGAAGAAAGAAACATGAATTCACAATATGAACTAGGACAAACTGCTTTAAAATGGTTACAGAAAAATATGAAATAGTCGGGAAATGTCAGGCTGCCTGCAATAATAATACGTATTTTAATAATAGTCGCGCCTTGATTTATGTGAATTAAATTACACATTTATAAAAATAAATAAAACACTTGTCATAAATATATTTTGTGGTTTTTAATTTGAAGGGATTATATTTTTTTCTCCTTTTATAGAAATATAAGTTTAAAATAGAATTCTCTCTTCCAAAAAATTATATTTTCAGAATAGAGTATAGTTATGAATAATCTTGCCAATGCAGTCGTAATCAATCAAATCCACACTCTAAGGCACTCGATATACCCCGTTTCCGTATTCGGTTACCGGGTACAATCGTTTCCATAATCCACAAGGCCTCGCCCCATATCACCACCCCCACACCTTTAGGGCAGGACGGACAAACATATCATATAATTTATGTTCCACTCCCCACAGCTTTTCCCTGTGACTAAGCTGATTCCTGTTTTTCTTTTTCTTTCCTCTTTTTTTTGTTTTGGTTTCTGTGTTGCTCTTCCCTAGTGTTTTTCTCTTGCTGCTGTTTTTGTTTTTCCTCATTTTTCCCGCTGTTGTCTGGCGTGGCAGCTGCTTTGTTTCCATTTTCATTTTCATTGGCATTGAATAGATCAATCATGGACGAGTTCGATGCGATTCGATACGTTCGGCGTACAAAATACTCCAATGATGACCAATTATTCACCAATAAAACTGTCGACCAAATGTCATGAATTGAACTTTTACTTGCTGCGCTAAGCGGAAATCAATCGCAAATTGCTGGGAAAGTGATTTTGAAGAGTCTGTGGAATCAATTACCATTTCGAGTACTTTTATTTGAATGATTTAATGGAAAATTGTGTAGCTAAAGTTACGTGGTCTGATTGATTGGCAAAGTCATTTCAAATTATTGGTAAATGGAAATGGAAAAAGGCTTCAATTTATTTCAAATTACATTTCTCTTCTCAAGAAGTTTTAAGGCAAAAGAGTACAAAGATTATATGGCATTTTTATTGTGCCCAAGAGCTAAAAGTACTTTAGTATGTTTCCTGCTTTATTGACTTGCTATGTTGTTATTAACTAACTAACTAACTAACACTCGGGGATTCCCTCATAAACTTGCATTATAAATCAATCACAATATATTTAAAGACTTCATAAAACAGAATTTAAACTTAAATGCCAGGCAATAGGATAGGTAAAACCCTTTCACTTCCGACCTAATGCCTTTGCATTTGAGGTTGGGGTCAAAGTTTGTCAGGGGCTCGATTTGTTTTGCTTTTATTTTGATTTTTCTTTTATGTTTCTGTTTAATTTCGTATCTTCCGCCCACGCAGAGGGGGAAAAGTGCTGGAACTGAGAAACAATTTAATGCAACATCATCGAAATCGACAATAAATTGCGGCCGGACGGACTTTGCTGCAGTTGTTGGCTTCAGTCAACAACAAATTGATATCGTGTGGGCGTGTTTGTCGTAACGCATTTTATCAAAATGATTTTTTTCCCTGGAACTCTGGGTTTCTTCAGCAAGTTTAATTTGTCGGCTTTTATTTAAACGCTGTCACTCGAATCGACCAGAGTCGCAGTCGTGTTTGACTCTTGGCCTTAGCGCTAAGACAATTGTGAGAGGTGTTGCCGGGCAAATCAAATTGCGGCTCAATAAACGGCCAAGCAAATTACAATTGGGATTGTTTGGTTTATGGCCTAGTGTTGCAGTTGCAACAGCAATAGCAATAGCAACAGCAACAGCAACAGCAATTGCAACACGTCGCCAACAGCTGTGTCAGCTGGCACTTGGCTGTCTAACGATTTATCTATCTAACATCTCGTGGGGACACGCGGCGTATGCGCAATTGCCATTTAATTAAAAATTATTTGCACAGCCAGGCGAAACAATTTTTCGTTGATTTCATTTATCATTATTTTTTGTCGTTTTTTTATATATATTTTTTTTGTATTTTTTGTTGGCTGTGCAGGTGCTCAACGGAAACGGCATAAACAAAATGTTCACACGCTCGCCGCTTCGCGAGACTTTGACTTAATGGCAATTAAGATGGCCCAGAGACCACGCACTTCTCGGGGCAATCTAATTATAATCATTAGCTGAGCAAATACAGAAATATACAATTATATATATATATAGACATTTTTATACAATTTTTGCATAGTCCCCCCTCTGGGCTGGTCACTGAGCAATAAAAATTATACAGCAAAATAAAGAAGGAAAAGCAAATAAATTGCCAGGCCAAGGGAGATGGAGATGACGATGGAGACCGGGGCGTCTTCATTAATGATAGGAAGTGGAACTAAGGAGAGTCAGTCGCTCTGACTGGACAGAGTCAAAATCCATTTGACAACATAAAATTTTTGTATCAAGCAAATGCCGACGATGATGCCGCCACTGAGGGGCATTAATACCAGCGGCTAATTAACTTGTTGTTGAGCTCGTAAAATAGTTTGGCCGCTCATCAAGATAATAAAGGCCTGGGCCAAGTCGGCAGCCAGCCAAGTTTCGGTTTCAGTTCGACTCTTTAATTGAGCCCGAACAAAAAAACCAACAAAAATTGTTGACTTTTGTGGCGTCAGCTGCACCGGCAGCAGCAGCAGAAAAAGGCCGAAACCCGCAGCAATTCGGCACTTGAGCACTTCAAGAATGTCCCGGAGACAGGCTACTGTCACTAAAACGAACCCAAAAGGGAACGGATCGGAACTGGGGCGAGAAGGGACATTGCAGCAGTCACTTTTGGTAATTAGATTTTCAAGTCGAGATAATGAAGTGGACATTAAAATTTTACAACCTCCGGGCGCACACACTAAACACTCGTGGAGCGGAAAGTAAAGGAGCGAACGAACGCATTCAATAAATTAATTACGAATTTCGAACCTTAAATGTTCGACTTAGACTAGCCCCTTTTTAATGCCATTATGCCAGGTGGAGGGGCCGACAGGCCACACCCAGCAATAAATATTGAGAACTGTCCCAAAAGCAAGCCACAGACTAAACCAGACTCCGTCTCAGATTCAGATTCAGATTCACACACATGTCTTTGGCTTTGGCATTTATAATGTAGTATGCATGACTCTAATTAAACCGCAATTGTTGTGTAAACTTTAAGGAATTGATTGCTCGGACACGAATCAGGAGACAGGTGGGATAGGTAGGTAATCCAAGAAGTCTTGCTTGGCAATTAAGAAGCAATTTACTCGAGAGAGGAGGTTGTCCCTGACTGCAATAAATGAATCTTGAATTGCACAGGCCAGAGAAGATATAAAACAATTATTGATTGGGCATAATAAAATAAATTTATATGTATATATATATAGATTGATAAATGAAACCAGAGCAAGTCTATTAATTAAGCCATCATTAATGCAAACTCAAATTGCATTTAATAAATTTAGTTATCAATGTTTTTGTGAAAGCAGGAAAATTACACAATTCATTACGATTAAAATGGTAAATGATAAAACATTTAGTGCCTGGAGGAAGATATTGCCAATCAATGACATTAATTAATACATATTTTATTTGTAAATACTTTTCAAGGATTATCATAGCAAATAGAACAACGGATAGACTGTTTATATTTTAGCCCTATAATTTGAAACATGTATGTTACCTGTATCAATTTAGCTTCAAAACAAAAAATATATTCGTCATAAGTAGCGGAAAACACTGAAAACTCTTATTATTTATTATGCCTTATTCCCGTTAAAGTCGCACTTCTCAGCAACATTGGTCCTTCGAGC